CCCGCACGACCCCCTCCCCTCTTTTTTTGCCCTCACGACTACGAAGATGATCTCTAACTTCTACTAAGTCCTGCTTCATGGCCTAATATTGCCAATCTAGCTAGTGCTTGAGCTGGTCGACCAGTGATGGACTGCAACCTACGACTGCTCCCTTATGAAATTATGCAGCTGGACGAACTGAATTGAATGCGAAATTAATTGCCCGAGGACGAAATAAATAGGTAGTACGCAATTTGTTGCTCAATGAAATGCACGCCAGCTACGGGTTGTATGTATATCGTATAAATTCATGTGCTGAGTCCAAAAATGGGAGAGATAAAGCAAAAAGAGAAAAATATAGGGATATGTGATTTTGGAAGTAAGGCAGGCTTCAAATCTGCATGAAAAATCTGATTCGCACTAATATAGGATTTAGAACTTCTCAGATGCTTTGTAATTACTAGAAAGGAGCAAAGCCGGTATCAACACAAGCAAATTCAGATGAACCAACGATTTCACCCAAAACAAAAATCCGTTTTGAACGATTCTCTTGTAACCCAAAAATCAAGCTACTCATACGAATATCCAGCGAACACGGACTTCTCTTTAAAATAAATCAATTCACGGAATCATAATCAGAACTAAAATGAGATTTTGGTAGATCATTTAGCATTTAGCGTTAGAGTAGAAAAAAACAATACGTGTGGTTCTTTACACCAGCTTTTTGTCGTAAACGCTAAAATTAGTGGCTCAACACTAAAAGGTACGATTTGATCTTTTGAGAATTTTTGCATGAAAGATTGCTAAAAACTAGAGGTAAACATGATTTTCAAAAAATTCTGTGTAACACTTATATATCGACCAAATACTATACATTTTGAATGGAATTTGTAGGTAGATGCCATTATACAGTGATGGAATGGTGGAATGGTTGCAAAAATTGATGCATATTTTTAGAAAGCTTTCGTCGTAACATGATAGACGAAAATTGCACTTTTCAAAATTGTAGATTCTTTGAAAATGTGCGCTATGTTAACAAAACAAAATCAGCAAACGCTGCGATGTAAGAATGCTTCCAAACGAATTGTAAAAAGCATAAAATGAGAAAAGTGTGGTAATGAAAGTAAAAGACGGTGCTTATATAGAATAAAATTTACAACCACAGCCTTGAAGATACACGGATAATTTCTCACTTTTGTGCGATATTTATCAGACTTTCGATAACTTCACAAATCTTGAGATACTGGCTATTTTTTTCCTTCATTTCTCGGGATTGAACCTCTTGCTTATGAAACTTGCAGCTACTTGGTCAAATAATAATATTAGGATTGAGCAATTGTACAGCACAGGAATTTTTAATATGTTGTTTTGGGCGAATTCTTTAGCATAGATGCAAGCTTCACTTGTAATTATCGAAAAATATTAGAAAAAAACTCTCCAATTCAAATTTTAAATAGGGTTCGGCAAAGGCTTTCCATAAGCGGATACCGTTTTTGGGACAAAAAGTGGATAAGGGGATATCGCTTGCGGGCTGTAAGAATACAAGATAAGTTGGTTTTTCAAGTGAAGTTTTCGATTTTGGTCAAAGGGGACCTTGTGCCGAGCCCTGATTATGAGCTAGCAAAAAAAGTTTAAAATATCTGTATCAGGAATGTTCTAGCAGCAAAGGAAACGTAAAACAATGAGAGGCACGTACATAACGACGAATCCTGTGTTATGTGCAATCACTGTACGATATCATTATGCTGCGTCGCATTGATGTCCCATCGAATTGTTTCGTTTTGTTTGAACAATCATATAAAATTCCTATTGGGCTCATTTTGAATAGATAGGAAAATACAAAAAACGGGAGCTTTTGATTATTGGATAATCAATAGAATAATTTTTAGCTGTTCGTAGAAGATTTAGTTATAGTTTGCAATAGAACAACGATAATCGCGTGATAAAGACTCTGTGCAAAAGATACTGTTCACATTGAAGCTTTTAGCAAAATGGAGGCTCACGAGAAAAGTAAAGGGCCGGGCATACTTCACGATTTCACTCGCGACGCGATTTGGCAATTCGCGCCTTCAGATCCAACATTAGCAAACTGCACAAGTACAGTGTGACTTATGTGGATTGATGAAATGCCCTATCTTCTGCACATCTAAAATGTACTTACAATGAGTTATGGACAGTTGGAATATTACTAAATCGTGTCGCGACTGGAGTCGCGTGAGTCATGCCCGGTACATTGGAGTAACGTCTCCTTCACTCATCTCCTTCCTCCGATCACTTTTTCAAACTATTACAATTCTGTAACATTAATACAGCTCTCTTCATGAAAACCTTGAATAGAATAATTCGAAGAGAGTAGGGGGACCCCTGCCCCTGAGGTCTTTTTTTTGTGATGAGAATGACGTAGAGGTTGAGATTTGGAACAGACTTGCTTCGGAAAATACGAAATGGACTTGAAGTCCAAGTGAATAGCATATCTGATTGTGAATTCCATCTCTTGAATCATTTATATGGCCGGAATTGACCATTCAGGCAATCTGAAAAGCTAAAAAATATGCTTTCAAACTTAACAGTAGATATGAGGATATTTTCATATTCCACAAACCACCTATCGTATGTGCATCCACCACTATGCACGAAAAAAATACGTAGGAGTTCCGTAGAAATTTTTCAGAAGACTGTGCGTTCTCAATGCGCTTCGTTACGGGTAGAAATTTGCAAGCACTCGATCCTTGGAAGCAGAGTTTGTAACCGACTAGACACCGAGAGTCTCAGAATTAGCTGGGAAGCCTTTTTAGTAGAAGAGGTCTTTCCAAAAGAGTTCTGCATCGCCTTGAAAAGCATCAAACATTGATTCCGAATGTGATTTTCTTCTCAGAGGAACAACTCTCTGGAAGAAGTTATGAGTGTTTAAAAGTCTAAAAGTTAAGCTTCGTTTGGCCCAAAATTAGCGAAAACCTGTAAAAACCACCTATACAGAATACTGGTATGTGTTCCTTCATTGTTGATATATATGATACAAAAATCATAACCGTTTCAAGTGTTTTTACAAGTTTTCGCTAATTTCATGTAATATAAAGCTTGACAAACTTGAACTTTCAAACGCTCATAACTTCTTCCGTAGGACCGTTCCACAGAAAGGCTAAGCAGATTTTAAGTCAACTTTCAATGCTCTTTAAAGTGGTTTAGGATTTATTTGGAAAGGCCACTTCGATTAAAAAGGCTTTCTTTGTAAGCAAAAGCGGCTCGGAAGAGCTATGTAGTCATCTATGAAAGCTTTTTAGTAAAACTAGTTGATTTAGGTTCAAAAAGACTGCACTGCAGACTCGGTTAGGAGCAGACACCATTAGGGCTAGACACCACAAAATGAAGTACACCGCCACACATCAAAGATTCGCCGTCGTTCGGTCCGACCAACGCGAACTACTCGCCCATTTGTCACTTGGACATTATTGCTTCCACCTGCTACGCACAACTGCGGCTCATAAAACATGCTCCGTGACATCGTCGTCTCGTTGAATCAACCCGTTTTTCCTTGGAAACATCTTCACGGTCCTACGAAGAAGATTAAAGAAAAGTGCAAGCCACTTTTAGTTTTCCCACGCTTCATAGCGCTCCGTAATATTATTTCTGGCTCGCAGATTATTGATTTGCAATTGAATATTTCCCAAAATCAAACGAGAATTCACAACTTTGTTGGTGCGAAACTTGCTTCGTTTTTTATAGGGCACTCTGTATGTACTCTGACCGAGAGTCTTCTTTTACAAGCATGAGCACATCAAAACAATAGGGAAGCATTCCAAAAAAGGTTTCGAGTTGCGTGGCCTAAAGCTAGCCTAGCATTTGGATGATTTCTGCGGTATTCCCCCCCCCCCCCCCCAAAAAAAAAGTTTCTCGGACCGGCAGTGCCTATAAATGACAGAGGGGAATGTCACGGGTAAAGCACAAATTAGGTCTAACAAAGCTCATAAATCCTTCCTACTTTGTTAGGATTAAATGTCTTTTAGTCATAATTTCGGTTGAGTTCGCTGCAACTAAAAGACTCGTTCGACGAAGAACTCTAGAAATCCACATATTACTTTCTGCGAGTTCCGAACCGAGTTCAAAAATTTGGACAAAATTTCCTTAACAACGAACGGAGGAGTAACACCTTGTGAGAATGATGAAAAAATGGTAAAATTTTGTTTCATGGTTCATTCGTGCCCATGAAATTCAGCCAACCCTCGCCTGTATCTACATAACCTTTTCGAGCAGACCAATCAGCTAACAATAAGTACGATTATGGGCTAGAGTTTAGGATTGGATTCCTTAGCCAAGAATGCATCATAGGAAAAGTGTGCAAAAATGTGACCCAAAAAAGAAATTCACTTACAAGAACTCTATGAAAATAAGAACTTGTAGCTTCATCTGATAGTCAGAAAATTCTGTGTAAAATCTTCTACATTACTTTTGGGATAGTCGCTTAGCCAATGGCTTAGTCAAATTTTTAATGAGCACCCGCAGAATAAAAATGAGATACTCAGATTTCTTGAACCCTACCTTAAAAACAGTGTTTTCTTATAAGTAAAAATGAGGTGTGGTTTATTTCGGGCAACTCAAAAGCAAGTTTTTGTTTCGAAAGTTGACGACACGTACACTTAAATTTGAAAACATTACCACAGCAATCATTCACTCTGCAAATGAATCTTTTTGAGTGAGTGTACAGTTCGGTCTTGAATATAAATCAACGAAGAGTTGTGTCGAGAATGACTCCATAAATTTTACGCAGCTTTCTCGTTGTGAACGGCTAAAAAAGCTGCAGGACTTGAACTTGTGAAGCAAGAAGAAAAGATGTTTTATTAGCATTTGAGCATCATAAAAATGAGACAGTGCCAAATATCTTTATATACAGATTATGATCACAAGGTGACATAGAGTGGCAAGAGTACAAACCAAATTTTTCGAAGCAACATAACAGAGAGGAGATCACGATAAATTACACGCAAAAACAGCGGCAGTCGATGAAAGAAATAAGAGGCATGGTAAAGTAATTCTAGCTGTCTACGGCTTGTTGAATGTGGACTGTTTATATCTTCTAGATGCTGTGTAAGTGTAATATGCATCATCAGCATCGTCCGCTTCAGTTCTGAACCTTGGCAGGGTGCCCATGTTGCCTGAAAGCAGATAAAATACCAGCTGCATTATCAATTAAGCAAAATATCAAGGGTTTCATGTCTATGAGGAAATTCGTACCATAAACATGGCCAAGGCCATCGCTCAAGATCTTGTCAGCTGGTGATAGAATAGCGTTAGCAATAGGATTTTCTCTATCTCGTTCTCGGCTTTCCACGCGTTGGTCTTTGATCGGCGTCGAAGTCAAGAATGGATCACATGGAATCGCTTCCGGGGTCCAATTCTCGTGCTTTTCTTCTGCAACATTGTTATGAAAAGCAGACACATTTGTCACTAGAAGATTTCTGCTTGGAGTGTGGTAATCATAGGGAAGCTCTGCAAAAAATATAGGCATCATTGTGCAATTACACATTTTCTATGAGGTTTCGCACGAAATTAAGCACGACTTTTACTTTTTTCCCAATGTTATGTTATCCATGCTCAAGCTTTTGAAAAAGATTGATTATATTCTTCTTGAAAAGATGCAAGTGCACACACTATATCTTGGACTGCAGATACAATCGCCAAATCTCAAACTTTCGTTTAGGACGGAAAAGATTTAGTTTTAAGAAAGCACCTAGTCAAAAGCAGAGGATCTGCAAAATGGGCCCCTATCAGATTTTGGTAATGTTAGTAGTAGCCCCCCCCCACCTCCAAGTATAACGTAGCCCCAACCCACCCTCTAATTCATGCGCTAAGTCCTGTAAAGAAGCTTCAAAACTCCACCAGCCCTGCCCACTTCCATTGAGTAGGCGTCATTGGTGGAGTTCTGAAGCTTCTTTACAGGACTTAGCGCATGAATTGGAGGGTGGAGTTGGGGCTACGGTATACGTGGAGGGGTCTACTACCTGAAACTACCAAAATCTGACAGGGGTCTATTTGGCTCCATTGCCTTCAAAGTATCAACTTCTTTCTTGTACGATCAAGTGTATTTATGGGAATGCTATATATGAGAAGAAGGCGACGATAAGGAAGTTAGAAAGGGAATTCTAGTAGTAGGTCGCTAAGGACTGTAGAAAGTAATTATGTAGATGAAGAGGTATGTTCGGGTACCCTCTTCTGGTACAAACTATTGCTCCCTCTATCTAATGTAATTGAAATGAAGTTTGCTTACCATCCGAGACGACAGGGCTTTCACAACGCAAGACGGCCGATTCAGCCATGTTGCTTTTCGCTGGTGCATCAAGCCACATGGTTGTTGTTGTATTTGGAGAATCCTTAAGAAATAGCATTCATAATTTCATATTGTGGAATCGAAGTACGCAAATGCAAAACTGGTTACCTTTCCACCTGGACACATGCTCCATATGAAGATGTAAAGTGCAGCGACTACGAGAGTGATGTTGTTTGTGAGCTCCTGAAAGAGTTGCTTCAATAAAGGTGAGGTTAAGAGGTACCTTATCCAGCAAATTTTAAAAAAATTGCCCACCTTCAGAGGACTAGAGATATTGAATAGAGTCGAAAATAAGGCAACAGAAGTGTGAAGAAGTGTCAGGAAACACTGAAAGAAATTAAAGATTCGCTCTTCACTTACAATAACTTTTACTGAATATTTTTCAAACTTTCTTACTCTAGTGGAAGCCAAAAAATTCAGCATTTATTATATTTTTGCATTTGAGTTGCCACATGCGCACGACATTTTATAATGCTTCAATAAATTTGGTTCGTTGAGAGGAAAAAGAGTTATTTCGTTGTCTTCTCAGTTTTCACGTCCCGCCAAATATTTTTTTTTCAACTAAGGCTAGATTGTTGGATTTGAACACTTCAAAAAGCATGCTTTTCTAGCACGTCTTGCTCATTTTTCTTTGGCTAAATATCTGCAAACGATAGGAACATCAAACTTGCACACTCACCAGCATGAAATGTTGACAAATGGCTCGTCTCAGATGGAATTTGACGACGATGACGTCAAACTGCTTGTTGGAAGAAACAAGGAATGAGGTGGCTGACGAGTAGAATGACAGCTAAAGAATGGAATAGGTTGTGGTGAGTATAACTGCCTACGAGAAGAAGGAAAATTCAACTTACCAGTAACATCAAGCCAATCGGAGCGACGAGCATCCAAAATAGCCATTCTTGAGGAGCAAGGGAACACTGTGTTGCTAGTAGGAATGACACGCATCCCGATAGAATTGGCATCATAATCCCAAGAATAAAGCAGAGCACAAAGCTGAAAATCTATGGAAATGAGCTTTAAAACAAAACTTGCACATGAAATCACGGTAAATTTTCCTCCAGTCTACGCAAACTTATTGCAACTCGAAAGAATTGGAATATTACCTTGTTTTTGCTCTTCCCTCAGCAAGCATACGGTAGAGATGAAGAGAGTACAGGAATAACCAGGCAAATGGAGCCAAAGAAGTGATTGCAAGAATGGCATTTCGCACTGGGCAAAAAGTCTAAAAAGCTTTTTTAACGTAAAGATACTGAACAATTTGAGAGCCTGTAGAAGGGCTACATTATAGTGGAAGTTGCTTTACATGCTTTAAAAGATTTTCTCGTACGGTTGATCATCTAATGAGGTATCATAATTTCATTCTGTAAAAGTCTTTATCTAGTGGCGGTCGGAGAAATTCTTTTCGGGGAAGGAGAAGATGCATGGCAAATTTTTTTTACAAAGCTAAGTAGGACTTTCAGAAAGATTCGGAAGGAACCAAGCATTTATAAGAAGAGATCATTTTCACAGTTTTACTCATGTAGACTAATATCGACAATTTCGCGCTTATGTTCCTCATCAGATTTCATGTAGCTGAAATTATGAGGGATTGAAGAAAAAAACATTACTGAAACAACGTCAAGCTTTCTTACGTCTTTTTTCTTTCCGGACGGAATTTGGAATGTAATTAGCAGCATTAGTCTTTATTGTATCGTTAATGCAGAATTTTTTTTCATTAAATGACTGACCTGATTAACAGCTGTTTTGTTCAAGAGGTAGAGATTAGCAGCATTCATAATGAATGTGAGAATGAAGCCGAGCCTAATCAGTTGTGCTCGCGCTCCTCGCCTAGCTAAGGTCAGGATGACGGAGATCAAACAGAGCAGCAGTGATGCACCAGCCAATACTGGGGATAGCATCGTGGTCGAGTATGAGATTCGAACCTGAGAAAATAATGGACTAGTGAAATTTTAGGGAATGCGGGAACAAAAGAAACTCACATATGAGCCAGAATCTTGCTTGGCAAAGATTGTATACACTCCACCAGTGGAAAATTCGCAAACAGCATGAGACAAATTGAGCGCGACAAGATGAGCATGGTGAGTTGACCATGATGACTGAGAGTCCTAAAATTCGAAATGGGATTGGCAAAATACCAAAATTTTGTGACTATGAACTGACATGAAGAAGCACGCATTCAGGATATCTCCAGCCGGTAGTTTCGTCCAATTCGAACTCTACTCTGATTGGTTGATTCGTGTTTGAAAATACGGTAACAATGGGTGTCTCACAATGAGTGCAGCGTGGGTTAGCTAGTATACTGTAGAAAGCCTGAAAACATTTTTATAAACTGGCTCCCGATAGCTGGTGATCTGAGCTGCTGATCAACATCAACGTCCTTTTAAGAGCATCTTGGCATGATAGATAAGATGTAAGGTAAGCACTTACCCTAGTGGAATTCTCTACTTGGATTGAAATGTATGGAAAGCCCTCAGGACGATGATCGATAAAATTATTGTATTTTGGAAGAGTGTTTGAGAAATCAAGTGCATCCATCGAAAATACTGGAAAGTAATTTTGAAACACATACCACAACAATCAACTTATTCACAAACCTATATGTTCCGAGGCGAACTGGAATGGCTGCAGGTATGGCATTCGCTCGTGTGCATTGAACACTGCTTTGCTGTAGGCTGCCAGCTTCTTCACAAGATCCAAATAAGTTTGTGGATCTTCATGAGAAGAAATTTTTCCGGCCGTTAGCGCTAGAGACTCGGTGAACCAGGTGTCCTTCAGATGATTCTGCTCGAAATGATCCAGCCTAGGTAATTGTTCTTGAGAGATAGTGTGGCCGACATGATTGTGAACAAATTGCCAAAGATATCGAAATGAAAAAAGCTTATACAATCATTTTTCCATACATCACCACTGCGTAGCCAGCCATCGTGTTACACCACTCTACGGCAGTGTTGGGACAAACCTGCCTTTCTGGATCTCCTTATAGGAATAAAAACTGGGAGATCTCATGTAAGCCTTTGCCTCAACAACTCAATTCGTTCGTGCCTTGGAAGCTCAACTATGAACTTTTCAATAGTACCGACACAAAGTGCAATTGGTCCGCTGAGAAAGACAACGACACTGGGCGAAAGGCTTAGAGCGAAATCTCTCGGGCACGAATGGAAGTTAGCCGTCATTTGGATAATGCTAAGTTGAGGCCTCCCAAACAAACACACAAGGAAAAATCAGTTTCCCAGATACGCCTGAGCGCCGTCTTCGGTGATTGCTATGTCCTACCTCAGTTCGGCATCAAGAATTCTATCCAGTGCTGTTCGAGCAATCTCAAGATTTCGTCCAGTCACTGAATCTGGTCCACGTGTGGCATTGTGAAGCATTGTTAGCAGCTCGAGTGAGTTTAGGACATCGTACTGGAAAGGAAATAGTTAAACCATTGGACTTTACTAATTTTAAGCCGTTCTTTGATCTGAAATCCTGTGTTCCGGAGCTTTGTGCATCAAATAAGGATCAAAATACGCTCTTGTAATCAGTAATCAGCCGAGCACCTTCTGACATAATTAACTTTCTTGACATCTTTTGCGGAAACTGAGAGATTGCTCGAGGTCATGCCAGCAAATGGAAGTCAAAAGTCTCTTTCAACCAAGTTATGACTCTACGGGAAATATTGTTCGAAACAGCTAATGTATAATCTTGATATTAACATTGTTCGAAACAGCTAATGTATAATCTTGATATTAACCTCTGTCTATACTTAAAACCACTTTCTTTAACCTATTTTGATCACTCCACTCCTGTCATTTTTAAACATTCTTGATTACTCGCCTTGGACACCATAACGCCATATTCAGGTCGAGTACAGTTAAAAGAATTGACTTCTTGCCATCGTCCATCAGGTCCACATTCTCTTGTAGCTAGTCCACTTTGCGTTGCAGGACAAGACTGCCTGGCAGTCATTCCTAAAGCTTGGATTTTTCTGACCGTAGCAAAACTCAGGTTTCTTTTACCTTTTGCGGTTGTAGGCCACTGGATTCCATAATCGATCTGTGAGGGGCAATGATTTCGAGCAGACAGGCATTTCAGAGTTTTCGGATCGAGGACCTAAACTTTCTACTCTATAAGTTACTTCATCAAATGTTCAGTACTGTCACTAAGCTGGGTCCGTACTCGCGATTCAAAGTGGTGCTGGCACACTCGCAGCGCCGAAATGGAACTGTACCGGCACCCGAGCTCGAGTAGAACCCAAGTTTGGCTTATCGTAACTTACGTGATGGTCCATTTTACACCTGTCACACCTCCTTCCACTAGCCTGACCGCTACACTGACACTGACCATCTACTGAGCACTGTAGAGAAGTAGCACCATATCCGCATTCACAATTAACACATCGTCCTTGCAGCGGGAATTGGAATTTCTACAAATTTTCCATCATTTTACGAATCTTCATTTAATGGAGAGAGCACTCGACTGTACTTACGGGACATTTGCATTCTCCATTATCTTTGTCACACTGCATTTCGAAGCCCTCAGAGCACATGCATTTCCGACAGTGCGGGAATTTTCCCCAATAGCCTTGCGGACATGCTTGTATGGCTGCCAGACGTTCGCAATTTACTCCCACATAACCTAAATATCCTTTCTTAGAAGTGCTCCATTTTCCATTCTTCTGCTGACTGACCAGCTTGACATTGGCAATCGTAGCCGTGGGTGCTGTTCGTCGTGAGGCAAAATCCGTTAGAAGCGCAAATTCCAGGAATGGAACAGACCGGGAGACAGGTGTCGCCAGCAAAACCTGAATATTATGCTTGGTAAATAACTTTTATCAAGATACACTATAAGTCTCACAAGAAGGGGTCCTATATATAAAAATCATAAGCAAAAAATAGGTCGGAAATGCACGGGAAATATCGGAGGAAAAACTGCTTATGTTTGCACTAATGCCTACCAATGTACTGTTATGTAGTGCGAGAAACAACTTATTCGAGAAAGTTGTTGTCTCACGGATATGAAAGTATAAAATTTTTAATATGGTACAAGAGTATACCATCTACATACTGTCGGAAGTTTCACGCTAGAACATACTGTGCTCTTATTTTTGAATCAAAATCTGCTTTTTTTGTTTGTTTATCACAAGTAGCCGAAAGAAAGCAGTGAACGAAGTAGTTACCTCTGTGGCACTTGCAAGAATGCCTATTCCATTCCCTCTGGCATGCACTTTCCTTTGGACATACTCCATCGACATTGCAGCGATTTGCGACAATGCATCCTTGGCGTACCTACACAGAAAATTTCATCATAATGTTTTTGTAAAAATACTCACTTATGTACCAAAGTATCGAATGCAAACACATACCTTTCCCTTTTCGCTCACTGGCTGTGGCTCACCATTCAGCGTCAAATCCCTCAAACAACCTTCGAAACGAGACGGGTGACCGGTAGAAGGTGCCAAGCCGGTGTAAATTTGATCCAAAGTCATGTCGAACATCGAGTGTTTTGAAATCTGAACATTCAAACTTAGGCAGTATGGGTTTGGAACCGATAGCTGCACCTACCGTTTCATAAACCCCATCGATCGTGGTTTTCACTTCTTCCTCTTTGAATTCTACCTCAACTCTCGTCCAGTGCCCCGGATGTTCTTCTGGAGCATCAAAGAGTACGGAAGAATGTCCAAGATATACACGTAAAAGACCGTCGTCCAGCTTAAAGATTTTCATATGGTAAGTATAGGTTTTTATATCCACTGACCTCAATCCTATAAAAGGTGCTGCGTTGCTCAAACTCGACGACAATAACTTGGGTGTCACTCCTTGAGGTTCGAAACTCGAAGCTGAGTGTGAATGGGACGGAAATTTCCAAAGGACGATAGATGACAAAAGATTCGTCATCAGTGAGGGTAAGAGGTCGACTGTGGGGTGAAACCACATCTAGAAAAAGTTCAGGAATTTGGTGACAACTATAGTATCAATTCGATCGTTTTGCAATTCCATGGAGAATTTTTACGGCAAAAGTATGACAGTGTCGAGACTCGAGTCCAAATGCTTCAGACTCCATTCTCAGATTTTTTCATCACTTTCTTGACTGCCGAAATTTGAAGTTAACCGTCACGCAACTTTGGGTACCTAGGATTTTCACAAGTCAAGTCGATCAGGAGCTTTTAACCCATTACCTTTGAGAGGACAAAGAATTAAAATCAGGCTCTGGCCCAATACCGGGATTGGTTACTGGTCCGCTCGAAAAGATTACGGTATTGGGCGGAATTTAGGAGTTGTATTCTCCGCAAACGTTTAGTCAAATCTCTTCAGACAGAGAAAGCTTGGACACTGACTTGAAGCAGATCTACCAGGTTTTAAGTTTTATATTTGGATTTCTCAAGCTCCTACCTGCATTACAAGATCCTCTATGATGGCTCGAGTGAGGACACCGACAGTTGGCACCATTCCAACGATTGACGCATTTTGCATTTGCTGCACAGACTCCTTCGCCACAGAAATTCTTTCGCTGTTTGCAACCTTCATGTACAGTTCCTCGTACGTCCATGTCACCCAACGATGTGAACTCAATCAGCTCCTTGTTGAGGGTGAGGTTGGAGATGCAGCCTAAATAAAAAGATTAAGCAGTAGAAGATGTGCCAGTTTTCTGCTGCAAGGAAAATAATGTGGGGTATGGCTTGGTTTTTTTTGGCTCGAGTATTACAGACGTACTCGAAAAAAGGCCGGATTAAGCCGTCCTATGCCTTTGTTTTGCAAACTTTGAACATACATTCCATTGAGTTCACTTTGTCTTTCACACCTCAAAGCACGGATAGTTACTGATCCATTTTTACATGATTAAAACCTCCAGTTCATACTTCTCGAAGTCACTACGCCTATCAATTTCCCATGCGATGGCATTTTGCTTCCTATGAATTACACATAATTCCCATATGCAGTAGAAATCGACTCCGTTACGAACTTTTTGATCTGCATCGCTTCTGTTGAACAAATAGTTGCGACGAATTTTTGCATAAAAAGGAACACACCTGAGTATCCGTTTTCCACTTTCCCCGATAGTGTCGGGCGACCTCCTAAGAAGATACCATTGTAAACATCCAAATACCGATAGCATGGGACAGAGGGGTCAATACATCTGAAGCGTTGAAAATTATAGCATTGAAATGGAAGGCTAATTTGAATTTTTTAAAAATTTTAAAAATCATTTCAAGTATTTACAAGAACAAGCAAGTTACTTGCACATTTTTATAACCCATATAAGTAATAAGTTTCGAAAATTTCGCGACTCATTCTCGCAGGGAGGGGGGGCGGTCCGCCACTGGTCTTTTGATAAAAAGATGCAGATCTAAAATATCAGAATTTTTCAAGAGAAATTTCCTTTTTTTAATTTTTTTATCTCACTCGCTTCTTGGGTATTTATGACTATAGAAAATAATTTTCTTCTTTTTTTGCTGTGCATTTGCAGATTTTTCAAGTGCGCTTTATCCGCCTTATCTCTTATGCCCATATGGAAATTTGATAAAAACATTTTAAGATTTTCGTTTCCCCTGAAAACTGCTTTGGACCCCTTTTCTGCCCTTTCGAAAGAAAGAGATGCCGATTAATAAGGTCTGGAAACGCGTATATAGCGAAGAACCAATTCAAGTGATATAGCGGATAACTGGCGGAAACACAGAGAGTGTCCGAATGCATAAATTGGAATTGAAACCGGCATTGTGGTCATTTGATGAGTGAATTACTCGGCAACGAAAGGAAGGGTATGCATGGACGAGCGAGTAAATGCTATAGTACTATAGTAGAGTTTGCGTTGGGGATACGGTAGACTTTGCATTCAACAAAGTCAAGAACTTCAAAAACCATTTTGATTTACCAAAAAAAAAGTCAGGCTCACTTACTTGGCGGGTAGGTCAATTTTTGCTTGGGCTGCACATGAAGCAGAACCAAGAGCATGTAGAGCGATGTATGGATCACATTCATCCAAAGCTATCGTGAGGTGCTGACAAACATTTTTTACATCAATTTGCATGATCGATAAAAAAACTCGCTTACCCTATCGTAGTAGAGTACTCGTACAGTATGCCATTCGCCATCGTTCACGCGATTTTTCCGCTCATTCTCCATGCGAACTAATTTTGGCTTTCCTCCAAGTGAGAACTCAGCTTGCAGCACACGGTCATGGATAGAAATTTCAATGAAGTCCGAGTTACGGTCGCCGGAAAACAGCATCACTCCATCGCGTGCGATTGTTGCTATTCTGGAAATGGGAATTTTCTTTGCAAGCTTGCAGTGAGAAGGACGGTAAGACCTTGTTGTGTGCTAGAGTGGGGAGAGAAACACTCAGAAACAGAAGAGAGCTCTAGATTTTGCATTAAGATAGGCTTTATAAACCTCATCATCTAAAATCAAGAGAATCTTATGCTTTACCAAAGCAGACTGTTTGGAGCAACGTACTCAGGGACTCGCACCGTGCGGGCGGCCAGCGACGAACTTACAATCGCTCGTTGGTGTGTGCGATTGTACGGTCGTCGAGCGCCGTTAGCACGGTTAACGTGAGGCGCCCGCACGGTTTCTGATGCTCGCCGCTCGCGCGGGGAAGGTCGGCCGCTCGCTTGCTGCTGGAGTAGGTTTATATGGGGTATTTTAACCATTTTTCTTAAGTATGTTAAGCATTTTTACATCTTGGGAACACGGGCTAATGCTTGCCGCACTACCCAAACTTTCCATGGAGAAACCCACACCATTACTCTTGATAACTGTAGCCTCACACAGGTTCATTACAGCTTTGCGATGAAGGGAAATGTTGGTTGCACGATAGTCGACGCTTAGCCAGCCTAAACGCTGCGTCGTATCTCATGCAGGTACCGTTTACGCTCATAGTGTGTGAAAACAATGAGCCGAAGGTAGAGGTCGGTGTTGGCCGTTTGTACGATCAAGTGATTGCTGGCCGATCGTGCGGACGCATTGCCTGCCGCTTGCACGGTCGATTTTATTGCGTGCCGATCGAACGGGTAGACTGTCTTCCGCTTGCACGGCATTTTTATTGTTGACCGCACGCACGGTACATCAAAAACTATGCAGTGCGCTCAGGCGGAGGAGCTTTGATGAGGACCGCCCGCACGGCGCGAATCCCTGAGTAGGATTACGTACTTTGCATTGAGGTCAATAATATTTGCAAATCAACGTAAAAACCGACCAGCAGCTTATCCAAATTTCCACCAAAAATGCCTGATCCTCCTACTCTTTCCCATCTGCAGCAAAAACAAAGTTGGCAACAGTTTTAGCTGTAGCAAGGAGAAGCATGAACACGATCTTAAACTGTTTCCTAGTTTTTGAAGAGAAGCAAGCATTTTACTTTTTGGGACATTGATCAGTACCTTACTGTAAAAATTTTGACAGCCTTAATACAATTTGAAGATAAGTACTTCAACCAAGCTTCTTCCCCTACACTAACTCGCAACGACTATCCCGCCAAGAAAATTGGAAAAATCTTGGAAAACAAGCAAATATAGCATAGTTTCATAAGTTGAATGTTTTCCCATGACAGAAAGCATTTTGTCGAGGAATTTCTAGAGGATTAACTCTTGCAATATGAAAGCCTCCGTCTAACAATACTTTAAATTTTGTAATTGTGACCTCGAGGATACGTCATTCCTATAAGCTGGAGAAGAAAAGGCTTTTTGGTCATGGGACAGCATAAGAGAGCTTGTTCTGATTGCAAAATTTTGGCCAAGTGTCAATTCTTGCACGATTTTTCTGGCTTTTATCTTTGCCCTAACACTTTGCAACTGCTACAAGATCTTCTCAGCCCTTTTCGTCCGCACAGATTGCCAATTCCTTAGAAAATCGAAAAGAGTTCTACAAAACTTTCAAGTGATGTACAGCATATCCAACTCTCTAGCGATTTTGTGAAAACGGACGGTTTTGAAACCAATTATCTAAAATTCTAGCGGAGTCTGTAGGCAGACTTACCTACATTTTGTATATGTTTTTACAAATCGTTCTCACCTGAAGCTTAGCTCCCACTCCAATCTGCTCAGCTGCTTGTTGATATTTACAAGCCCTCTTCCTTCGAAACCCAGCGAACGAAGTCTGCATCTTTCGTCAGAGTCAGTAGCAGCATAGCCACAGTGCTTGCACATCATCTCAGCTCCGATGAGTTCACAAACCGATCCTCCTTTACAGTATCCCGGAATGCAGGTCAGGGAACTGAACGCGATGTCGCATTGTTCACCTAAAAAAACTTTTGTGTAAAAATACGTAAACTTGACCCCATCTGATTGACCCGATGCTACAAGCTGGTTTTTTCTCTAGCCATATGCTCAAGTGGTTAATCCACGCACAATCCCTCGCATACAATCTGTTTTCCCGAATGTAGGCATTCAGTCAATTTCCGTGTGTCGAGCCGGACTGATCATTATAGGCTGTAATTAACCCTAAGAGGGTCAGTCGAATTGGCTTCCAGATGGGGAGCGAAGTCAGGCAGAGAGCGGGTGAATAGCAGAGAGCACGGCTGGAGTTCCCGTTATGGGATGTTTCCTTCCTGTTTGCAGCTATACTACTGGCACGAGAGCTCCAATCCGTAGGCCACATATTTGCAGATGTTGTTTTACGATTTTGTTGTAGGCGAAGCTTTACATCCAAATAAATCCATGATTATACCTGTGGTTATCATATGGTAGTACCTACGCGATGTTAGACAAGGTTCTGTGATGCCACTACAAAAAAATAGTGATTATTGAAAAATAATACCCTTTTTTGATATCTTGTAGAAAAAGTGTTGCAAACAAATTTCTGTACATCTGTCTGGTAACATTTGTAGAAAGCTTTGGGTAAGTCATTACGCTGAGCTACTTTAGATAAAAAAGTCTATTTTGATGTCGAGGGTGCAAGAAGGTAAGACAAAATTTTTTAGAGTGAAATAGATAGATTTTGAGAGCACTATTGGATTCAAGAGGTTGTATTGATTGGTGACAAGAATGTTTTTGATATATTGAACCACTTGCATCATGTCGATTTGGAAACCGCCTCTGAGAGATACTTTATCTTAGCTATACTCGACTTACTAAATTTGTAGAGTTTCACAGTTGCGACCGATTTTTACCCAACCTGATCCAACAGCGAGTCTGCTAGATACTATCGCGACATTAAAGCAAACGAGCATTCTTCGCAGGTGAAGGAAGCATTTTTCTTTTTTCAGAAGTCTTCCAATAAGTTGCTGAAACACATTACGAGGCTTAGTTGTTATATCCTCCGAGATTTATCACAAATTCCGTAACTCGCTCAAACATCATTACATTTCCATTTCGCAACTCCAGCTCGGGAAAACCATACCATTCTAGAAAGAAACTAGAATAGTTTCTAAAGGCAACAAAATTTGCAGTCGTTATTGCAATCATTCTGAGGCTTTCACTACAGCTTTTACTATACAATGTTGTTCGCTAATCAGATATGCTTGTAGTTCTTTTGATGGCTCTCTGTAAATTAGTTTTTAACACCTATATCAAATTATATGAAAAAAGACGTGGTTTCTTACTTGTTCACTTTTTGTGGAGCTTATGCATAAAGTAAATAAAGATGAATGACTTTGCCGAAGAAGTGCTGCATAGAAAGTAGATTATTTATATAGCAATTTTTCATCAAGACCGCTCCAAAACTAGCGCCCCTTCGAATCGCAGCACCATTAACTACAAAAGAGATTTGACCTAACCACATATTTTTTCAAAATTGCTCCAAATGCTCATATCTTTTCTGCCCAATATGAGTTTTTCCCTAGATGTCTTTGCAGAAATTTGAAGACTACGCTGCTCTTCAAATGCATTTGTACAACACACGATGTTGTGCGTGTTGAGAGCACACTAATTCACACCTCAGCTCTCAGCCACTAGAACTCCAATTACACACTGAGCCATTGGTCACGCAACCATAACAACGGACCAAGGAAAGAGACATCATCAGCTTTCTTTACCCCCCTCCCCCTTTCCCCTTGCTTTAGCACAGCTTCTGCTCTCTTCAACAACGACAGGGCCCATTCTGGCTGCGTTGATAATCTCATAATTCACAATGGCTGCCGGAAATCTAATCATCAGCGTGAAGATCGGCTGCACCAACCGACCAGGAGCACTCGCCCAAGAGCACTGCGTGGACTACGGACGAGTTTTCAAGTCTTGCAGATGCAAGGCTACGGTTGCGTAACCGGAATGACGCACAAATTATTCAAAGATTAATTATAGAAAATGTCATTCAGCCTGGACAAACGCTGTGTCTCGGAAGCCTCCCCTGCCGCTAATTATAGAATATATTAACTGAGTCATTAGAGTAATCAAATAAATGCTTGAATGAGTTATGGATGGCTGACCCATAGCGGTCATTAAATGGGGACGAATGATGAATAGTAGGCTAATTTTGAATCAAATAAAAACCACATTGTTCTGCTTCAGTCAAATCAGACCACCAAAAACCATAGCCGATAGATAATGAATATGGAGAACGTGCTACCGCATGTCCTCAAAAACAGTGTAATGTTGACATCTATGACATAATAAAAATTCCTCCAAGCATAAAATCGCTTATTTCTCGGAGCAGTCAGAACTTCATTTAATTTCACAGCAAAAGTTGCTCACTCTTGCCTCAATAAAGGAGGGCAGAGCTCCGCTAAAACCACTTCCATTCGGACATATAGCACGGATTCTTGGAAAAATTCAGATTTCTTTCAAAATGATAGTGAAACCTTTCTTGGTTGCCGGATTTCTTTGAAAGACCCTTGCAACATTACAATTACCCTTCCTCCTTTCTTATCAAACTCTACTTCCCCTGTAGGAATCAACCCATATACATCAAGTTCGATAAGAACAATTCCTTTTATATGATACGTGTGAAACCGTAATTTTCTGGAAAAGTCTGCTGATTTCTGGTTTCTCCCTTCAGATGTTGATGAGCAACACTAATTCGATTCTTTAGAAATGAAAAATACTATTTTGTATTATAAAAAATAAAATTACAATGGCGTAGGCAAATGTATAATAGTTCCTATCTATAAAAAAACAATATGTAAATTACCTCTCCAGCCTGGCTTGCATTCGCATCTGTATCCATTTTCAAGTGGATGGCAGGTGGCATTGTTACGACACGGATTACTGTAGCACTGATCCATACGCAAATCGCATTGACCGGGTAGATCAACTGAGCCTGTAACAGGTAAAAAATTATCATTGCTACAGTAAAAAAATGAGAAATTGCTTCAAAGCTTCAGTGTAATTCTGAGTCAAAATTTTTGTGATTTTTATACTTTTAAGCTTTTCAAGCACCACGGTCCTTTGTCTTGTGTGCAAAAATTCATGGGATTCCCTCCTAAGATCAAAGAAGGCTTCTTCCACTTGCGCTTCCACTACGCAATTTCGTCGAATTGGCTGTTGGCCCATTAATTGAAGGCGATCCTTAGCGATGCATAAACAAAGTGACCAGCACCCTTGAATTGCATGCGACATTAATTGAAGTCTTCCGTCTGAACTGTTTACGCCTATCTCCACTGCTTGTTCGAGATGAAGTGGGTGCAAGGAAATTAGGTGAGCAAATCTTTGTGTTGCGGCTAAATCGAGTAATCTACTGGAGGAGAGAAGGTGGCACTCAATTTTGACTTTCAAAAGGTTACCGCACTGAATATTTTACCGTTATCGATATAACGAATAATTACATATAGACAAGGAAGTTGTAAATTCTTTGAAAACAACTTTGTGATGAATAATGTGAAATATAATTTTCGTGGAAATCAAGCTTGACTGTTTTGACGATTCGGTAGAAAATTTCCAAACATGTCAGAAAGTTCAAAGATATATCCAAATCGATAGGGAAGAAAGACCTCGAGAAAATGTTCGAAAATTTCCCATTCAAAATCTGAACGACGTAAAAAGAAATTTTCGAATGCGGAATCTCAATAAATTCCATCATTGGCTTGGCAGATGATTTCTGTCAAGCTTTTCCTTCATAACCCTAAGCCAAAAGCTTACCGAAAATCTCGCATTTGCTTCCTACTCAATAGATAACGAATCTTCGAGCCGCAAATGCACATATAGTCAGCTAGTTTACGACAGTCATGTGGAAAGTCTTTTCTTTTTGTTTTCTGAGTTTTTTTGTCACTTTTCGTGCTTTTTCTTTATTCTCTTCAATTTTCTGGTCAAATTGCAATGAAATGTAAACGTGTAACAAAGTTATCCGTCGTCGTGATGTGAGTATTTGATGTCATTTCGCTGTTTTACTTACAATTTTTTACTTTCAAATATAGGCAACAAAAGGATGTACTTACTTGAAAATCCAGGCGGACATTCACACACAAATGTCTTCAGTGTCTTCACCGTCCTTGCAATGAAACTGTCAGTTTGGTAGATCTGAATTTGTACTTTTCGAAAAATCACAGATTCGAAAGCTTTTAACCTACGTCAATAGCATCAATATGCTTGAGAGTTTGTCGGCATTTCTGATAGTATGGACAAGGCTCCTTAGCGCAGCTTTCGTCTCGCACCACTTCCACCTTCATCAACGACAAACGCTCGATCTTTTTCACTTCGGATCGCAGAAGATCTTCCACTTTCCAAGACCTGCAAACAAATTTTCCATAATGTTTACTTCTACCATCTTACTACCCTCTCTGCCCAATCTCTAACGCTGCTTCTTCCTAATATGCTTCTGCCATGCGACACCTAGCATATGGCATGGATGAAGAAACATGAAACTAAGTCACGAGAAGGAGGATATAATCGCGACGGGCGCTCTGATGCGGATTCGAATCTCCTTGACTGCTGCGGCAACAGATTGTGGCTAATTGCTGGAGGAGATGCTTATGGTATCTCGATTACAGTAGAAAAGGTCAACATATTGCAATGCGTAAACGAAAATAAAGATGAAATTGAGTAGATTAAAATAAAATGGGACTTTGGTTCTTATTGAGCGCGTAAGAACTGCTGATTGAATAGTGCTGCCACAAACCGAAGTTGGAAACCCATAGCACAATAAAAGCTCCGTATTGGGTATCCGTATTGATGTTCAGTATTGAGAGGAAAAACATGATCCGAAGCTAGGTTCAATCATAGAATTATGAGATCTGGGTCAAGTAAACCATACTATTCGATGTAACTTATCCGAAAATCTCTTTTACATCCGTTGCACTCACTTTTCAAAAACTCCTTTTTTTTCTTTCATCAAAGAATCTCCCTCACCTTCGTTAACAACTATACTAATCGTAGAAGCCGAATGTACGATTTTGCTTACACGAAAGGAAATTAGCCATTAGTAGTGTTGACTCCTCATGGTAATAATGATAATAACTAGCTTTTCGTTGAGATGGCTCATTATCTTGTTACGAAATAAGTGAGTCAGACATTATATTTTGGGACTACAGAAAAATTTTGATTGGACATAAGCTGTAATACAGTTTTGTTAGCTTTTTTTACTTCGATGCACTTAGAGTAACACATTTTAGCTCAAAGAATTCTCTGATTTCAAATATCTTCACTTCTTTGAAAAAATGTTTCTAAAAAAAGGATGACAACCTTGGCTTTCACGCCTGTATAGTACAAGTTTTTTCGACCATCACCTTCCAACACAGGATTGGATGAGATTTTGCATCACTTTTTCACAAATGTACCATAAAGGCAGAAAATTTTCAAAATTTACTGAAAAATTCATCTATGGGTCAGTTTTGGGACACATGTTTTCTGCGGTTTCACAAAAGTTTCCGCTCCCTTTCCCAAAATCTCACAACACTCCTTACCCCTGAATACCCTCAATGTCCCTTTGGGTAACACAATTTCGCGCAGATCTCATGCCGTGTATCATATGGCGAGGTGACAGATGCGTGTGGGCGCTCGTTAGCGGCTAGTGAAGGAACCACTTGGCGAACGTTATTAAAGAACGAATCAAAGGAGATGACACACAGCTTCAATTTTCGATTTTCGCCCGGAGATGCCGACAAACAGATAAATATGGATGTGATGGGATGGAAGTAATGTGAGGAAATGAGACGGCGTTGCGAAGCATTCTTGCATTTCTGCTTCTGCTAAGCCTTTCACAGAATCTTTACAGATTTTTTTCGGCTCTGACTTGCAGACAGCGTCCAGGTAAACCTAGGCACTTGTATATGCTGCATGTATACTGATTGATAGGAGATTACTAAGCCATTGTTTGAGCGGCACTCACAATTTATTCGTGGCCGAGAAAGACAATCTCAAACTCTAGCCCAAACCGTAATTCACTGTATTCCAAGCTGAACCGTAATTCACCGTATTCCAAGCTGAGTGGTCTGCTCAGAAAGAGTATGGTTTGGGTGAGAGTTTGGACTTGATTGTGTACGACGCGGCTGATTTTTTTATGAGTACTGCTGGAGAAGTGACACAAATAGAATTTCTTAAACAACTTCAAGAGGCTCAGGTACTCAGATTTGCCTGAAAACTTTTTGAGAAAATTTGACCCACTTTACAAGCCGCCCTCTGTCCATCACCACCAGATTGACCTCTACCCCTTCGGCAGCATGTTGTGCCCCTACGATAAAGATATTCTGTTCGTCCCAAGTATCCAATGCTGCCAGTGATTGCCTGAAATAGTAATTTTGAATGGAGAAAAAGCCCTGTACTCTACTAGCAAAATCTTACCTGAATCTATTGAAAACCGGAGGGTCCCAAAAGTCATCCAACGACATTTTGGGTAAAAATAGAGTTGCCGCCTCTCGAAGCAAATCCTGGGTCAGATGAACGTGGATGAAGCGACAACTAGCACAAACTCGATTGGGACCATCTAAATTTACATGGAGAAGTTCTAGTACAGATGGAAAAACCTACTTAGTCTCCGAAGGCTGACTTACCAGAAACACAAGTTTTAAGATTCGTGTCGATATTTCTCTTCCATTGACTCTTCAAAACCAGTTTGCCAGTAAATTTCTCCACCGTTAGAAGCTGATTTTCTTCCATGAAAAATTCTAAGGTAGCATTCTGGTCGGGATCACTGGAACAAAGCATAGTTTTGGTTGAACTTTTTCTACTAAAGTTCAACTTACAATGCCGGTACAGTCCCAACATGCGTTATAGACGTCTCTGATTCAAACCTATTGATGAGCACAATGAAGTCGTTAAGGACGGGCCGGTTGTCGTTAACATCGGAGACATGCACTCGCAGAATCACAGTGGAACTCAGTTGACCGCTAAATCAAAGAATTTTGAGTTATTTCCTAAAAACGAAAAAGCGACTGATGTACCTGGTGGCCTGCACTTCCAAATAAAACTTGTTGTTCTTTGCTTCGTAGTCGAACTCAGCACGAGTCAAGATCCGGACCACTCCAGGCTGATTTTCGTCAACTTCCAGGTCAAAAAGCTTAGCATCGGCTCCTCCAAAAATTCGGAACTGTATCTTCGCATTATCTCCCTCGTCAGGATCAGTGGCCATTATTGTACCTGAAATGAATGAAATTCATGACTCAGAATTTATTCCTAAAACTTTTAGAGTTTATTAGCATAAGCTAATATAATAGATAGAGCCACATGAATAACAGTTGCAGCACGACTTCTTTTCAAAATATTCATTACGATACATTTCTAAAACTATAAACATACCAACGGTGCTTCCAATCGGAGAATTTTCTGCGATGTACAAGTCGTAGGATGTTTGGTCGAACTTTGGAGCATTATCGTTGACATCAGTAAGAGCAATGGTAATCAACGAAGAAGAGGTAAGCGGAGGCTTGCCACGATCTCGTGCGTATATGTTAAGTTCGATGCTGAAAGTAAAGATTATCCTCGGAAAATATTTAGAGTGAAAAACCTTTACGCATAGGAGTATTTAGAGGCATTTTATGAGAACAACTGAGTAAAAGAAGAAAAAAAGACCAAATCAGCAATAAGAACGCATTAGAAATGGAAGGGAGCAACAAAACAGTGGCCTATTTTCGATTACGAATGACTGGCTATCAGCATGAAGAAGAGCAAGTGTACCCTATCACAAGTCATGTCCTCAATTCTGATAAAACTAAATTTAGAAATGAAATACGAAAGGATAATGTGGTGTACGCAATTTCTGTTTACTACAGAATTGGTCAAACAGCATGCTAAACTTACGTGGGCGTTTGCTCTCGGTCCAGCTTTGAATTGACTCTGAGAGTGCCTGAAGTTCTGTCCAAGCGAAAAAGGTCATAGATAGGAGAAGCGCCAGAGTTGTTAAGAAAATAATCCACGATTCCATTGTTGCCAACATCCAGGTCGACTGCAGAAACCTAAAAAATACAAATTCTCAGCTATACAAGGTGAGAATCCTATCTGGTGATGTACCTGCATGAAAGACGTGCCAACGGGAATGTCTTCTGGGATGGAAGCGGTGTAGTTTTGAGTAGAGAATTTTGGAGCATTGTCGTTTACTACAAACAAAAACTTAGGGAAGTTAGGTAAAAATAACTACTGAGTTTCTAGAGTATTTATTTAAAAAAATAAAATAAAAAATAAATAAATAAGGTTTCTAGAGCAGTTATAATACACAATTTGATGTCTCGTAAAAGTGTTGTACTTTCCAAAATAAATGTACAGACTAAAGAAATATGAAATTATTCCACGAGTTCTAATTTTTTAGCATGAAAAGTCCGCTTGAATGCAGACACAGACATCGTTTACTACGACTTTTGACAAAAGCTGCGAATTTTTGTAGCTTTTCAAGCTCTTTTGTATTATACTTTCTTCTCCTTATTAGCACCCTCCCCAATACCAAAGGCGCAGTCGTGTTCTCCTTTCAAATTATGCAAATCATAACGATGCTAATGAACGCAGCAGTAAGTATTTGCACCGTTACAAGCATCCCGTTGAGAGAGCTGTCGTCAGCGAACCCGGGGGATGAGGTCGTCGAGGTTAGAGGCCATGAGGGACCACGAAAGACAAAGAGGAACGAGGCATAAGCGTCGCCGCAATTTTCGACAGCTGTTCAAGCGATGATTATTTACGGAAATTAGCACGGCAAATACGTCTTATCCCAGCTCCGGCACCGCGCGATCGGCGACTGTGCTCGAGTGAGATTGAATAATTGCACTTTGGGAGAAAATCTAATTTATGGAGTTGACAAATGGATTTTAAGGAAAGGTTGCAGAAATACTTTTAAATTCATTCAGAAATCACTTACCATCATCAACGATAACCTCCAGTTGAGTAGTGGTATTCAGAGGTGGAACAGCTCCGTCACTGACTGTCACAGCGATTAAATAGCTTGACTGCTTTTCTCGATCTAGAGACTTCCTCAAGGTGATCAATCCCGTCGCATTATCGATGTCAAACTCATTTGAGTCGATCGAGTAGGTCAACTGAGCATTAGTACCCTGGTCCGTGTCCTCAGCCTAGAAAATTCGAAGACATTTTATTAGATGCTAAAAATAGAACAAAGGTACCTTTATTGTAACGACATGGAACCCAATGGGAGAGTCTTCTGGAATGCGAACGGTGAAAGGTTGATCTTTGAAGAAAGGAGGAGAGTTGACGTCTTCAACAATGAGGTTTACTCGACAACGGCCTTGTAATCCTCCCTAAATTCAATCGACGAATTTAGTAGTAAAGACGTAAAAAGCTCGCCAAATTCAAATAGTAGAAATAAGTCATGGTGTTTCACAAAAATAGTTACCCCAAAAGTGCAGAGCAAAAAAAGGAGAGAATGTTTTTGAAATTTCCTTTGCAGAATTCAAAAAATAAAATAATTGAAATTCATTAAATAAAAGCAGTTCTTTATCGTATTTTGAGGCAAGTACGACAAAAATTTGTATGAGTTCTCTATATAGCATCGAAAACGGTATAGAAAATGTTTGTAAATTCAATCGCTGATTTTGATTTACTTGATCAGTTGCAGAAATTTCCAGCTTGATGAGGTTATCTGCACTGCGCAGCTGACCCGACAATGTCAGTAGAGCACCCTAAACGAAAACATTGACAATTGATACCAGGGTAATGTCTGTTTACCTACCTGTTCACCAAGATCTATCAAAGCAACAACATCACGATCCATATGCTCGATACGGTAAACGATTTTTTGTTCAGCATCCTGAATTGGAAATTTTGGGGAAATAAGGTGGAAAAACCCATGGTTGCCTTAATTTTTCGTAAATTTCTTTGAATTAACCTCCAGACTCTCAATGGTAAAGGTGTAATATACACCACTTAATTACTTGTGTGACTTTGCGTTTGACTCCAGTAAGCCCCCGTATAGTCGAATCTCATTTCCGAATATGAGAAAATTTGCGGCTGTAGTTATTTCAAGAGTGCATGCGAAAACGGAAGTGAGGTGCAATAAATTAGAGTAAACACTCCAAACTACTGCTTTATTTGCATTACTCGTGCTTTTCTTACATCGCATTTCATTACACTTTGCATTACACTACTGACTCATCTGATATGGAAGTAAGCTTCGTATACGAACGCAAAAACACGAAATTTCCGTCTACATGCACATCTTTAGTAAGAAAAAAAATAGAAGACAGCATTAGATTATACAGTAAAATCAACCTTGTCTTCAGCTTTCAGCACAATGATCTGACTCCCTCGAGCTGTTTCCTCCGACAAACTGATGTTATATTCTTTTTGTGGAAATTCTGGAGCATTGTCGTTCACGTCTTTCACTATGATTGTGATATCGGTGGACGAGCTCAGAGGAGGATTGCCTTGATCAGTAGCCGTTACCTTGAAAGTGAAGAATTTTTTGTTTAGGCCCGAACAGGTGGTTTCTTACTTGTAGATCATATTGTGATGTTCTCTCCCTGTCAAGTGGAACAGCTGTCCGAATGATTCCTGATTCGGCATTAATGGAAAAGTCCAGAGAGCCGTTGAGAGTGTACCTGAAAATGACTTGTATCATAATTTTAAGAGAACAGTACAAAAATCCCAGTCATCTCAGATCCTCGTTTTGTGTCTCAATTGGACAATTTTCAAATTTCCATACCTCCAAGGAACTTCACAAGGAAATGAACGACGCATTAACTATTGCAGAAACAAGCTACATTCACTTTCATTAATCAATAGTCGTAAAATTAGAAACATAACACACACACCTTATAACTCCATTCTCTCCCGAATCTTCATCTATCGCGTAAACTCGCCCAACTTCCTCGCCCACTGCGACGTTTTCCTCGAGAAACACCTTCTTTTGAGATGCTATGAATGTCGGTGCCTAAAAAGCTTTCAATTAGAGATTCTGAAAAATTCAGCTGATACTTACATGATCATTGATATCTATGACATAAAGCATGAGAGTAACAGTAGAACTCAGCGCAGGTTGTGCACCATCCTTTGCTCTGGCCAGGATTGCTATAGGTGAACTTCTGGCATCGACCCGTTCCCGAAGTATTACTTCTCCAGTGGTGTAATCTACCGTTAAAGGAGCCGAAGATGTGGCAGCGATACTGTAGTGAACCTTTCCTAAAATTTTCGAGATTTTCTGTTTCGTTAGATTTTTAAAAGGCTGTAGAGCATGAAATAGCTGAGAATGAAGTACCCACCATTAACACCGCTATCCTTGTCAGTCGCTCTTATTTGAGCTACTACTGCTGGGAGAGTAGCATTTTCCATGACGCTGATGTTGTAGAGTTCCTTAAACATTAGGTAGGATTTCAGAAAAGATTCGTAGAATTTACAGTGCAATAAAAACAACAACATTAGAGCACAACAGAGACGCGGAGAGCGATTTTTTGCCTGAAAGTCTTTCCCAGTTAGGCGCTCTTTTTTCTCAATGCGCAGTTCATCCAATTTTTATCCCTTGTTATTACTGCAGATACTTTGAGTGTTTTTATTAGAGCATAAAAAAGCAAACTCAGCTAATAAAATAAGATTGGCGTTGCGCTTTGTTTCTCAACCTCCTAAATTATGGCCACTGCTAAAACGATAATTACAATCCTATGGGGATTTTATTGCAGGATAGAAATAATTGTGCAGTCGTATTTTCCATTTTATGACTGTGCACTTTGCTTAAACGATTACGAAATTGACATAGTGTGTTTAACAAAGCAATGTATAATTGACGAAGGATGGCAAGTATTACAGAAAGAGATTAGATCATTGATGTATATGTGTCCTAAATCGAACACGTGTGATACTTTTTATCAATCCTCGCAGAGCCAAAGATTAGCAATAGGTAAAAAAGTGAATTAGCTAGTTTAGCAATTAGGTGGTCTTTTTTGATGTGCAAAAATTATCAAAATTCAGTTTGGAAAATCTTTTTGCAAAGTGTCAATAGCAGAAGCGGTGACTTGCAAAATAACAGATGCAAATCTGGAACTTGTAAGAGAATAGTTGCTTATAGGATGCAAAAAAGTTCACCTTTTCGAAGATTGGCGCATTATCGTTAACATCAGTAATGCCAATTTCCACCACGGCTGTGCTTTGCCGTGGTGGATCTCCTCCATCAGTCGCGATGACGTCTAGCCTAAAACAAGGCAGTCTACAATAGCTCCCCAAGGCGCGTATTACATTTACCCACCTAATCAAAGAAAGAGTCTCCCGGTCTAGTGGGCCCGCAGTCTGGATCACTCCTGACTTCGAGTTGATAGAAAGGTAATCGTGGCCTTCACCTTCCGCAAGCGAATAGACAATTTCACCATTTTCACCAGCATCAAGGTCCCGCGCAAATACGGAAAGCACAGTGGTGCCAATCTAAAGAGGAATTTATCATGGTTTCACAAAGGTAGTCTGAGCATCTCTGAATGGGTCCCTACTCTCCAAAAAATTTATAATTTAGTAGGAACTAGTACCAATAACGTTGTTCGATATTTATCCATATATTATTCAATACAAATTACAAATATCGTGCTTTCAAAAACATTTTGCATTTTTCGATACAAAGTAAAGAAGTAGATTTCTGAAGCTCAGAAATCGTGTATATTTGTAGAAAACGAGTTCTTTTCAGTCAGAAAAAATTTGCGAAAAATATCAAAAGTTTTTCATAAACTGAGCTCGTTCCTCCTGCGATAGTGCATGTCTACTGCAGCAATCGACAGCTACTATAGAATTTAATGCTTTTCAAAAATTTTCCAGTTATGGTGTTACGTCTGGTTTGCACTTGATATGCTATATGGCCCGATAAGAGTACAACAATATCCCTTGCAAAGTATTTGTCTACTACGGTAATTTCTTTGAAGTACATCTTCGAGAGCTCTTAAGGCACCTCGACGCAAAGGTAGTTTCTAGAGTCACCGCCTTTGAATGCCCTGTCCTACTTCTCTCCCCCTCCCCCTCCCTCACCCTCTCCCCTGTGGAAATTGAATCCCTCCGCTACAACCTCGTTGCGCAACTTACTAATGACTCAGATTAAGCGCAGTAGCTGAGAGAATTCCCAGTGCTTGCTATTCGTGTCATCGCCTCGTTCATTCCCCCCCCCATCTCTTCTGCTCGTTGTGCATATTAAATTCCAGGCGAGCACTAATTACCAATGCTACATGCCGTCTAGCGCTGGCGAAAGCGCTGTTCGCGTCCGCAAAGAGTGATGGATGGTCAGTAATAACGATAATGGAGCACCCTCAGTACCGACATCGTCATCGCCATCATCATCATCATCATGCATCTGCGCAATGCGCGGGATTCTTCGGCTACATTACAGCCAAGTTTGGAGCGCGACACACCCTTTCCGGAAATTCGAATTTGTACGAGTTATCCGGCGAAGAAAGAAGCACAGATTGTGTGCACTGATGCATAATGCGCATGTGCTCAGCCGATGAATGCTGGCTGGCTTGTAATTACTCTCACCTGGCCAGACGACACTATCGATCAGCAAATAGACTGTCGAGAGATTAACCGGGAACATTTGGACAGATTGGGTTTGGAAGGTAAATCCCTCTTGGGATCAATGGGTAATCCGATTGAGTACAAGCGAGAACACGATTTAGCTGTCAGCACAAAAACTGGCAAAGAAACAAATCTTTTCTTTTCAAAATCTTAGGTCTTGATTTGAGCCGGTGGACACAATTGTCTCTGTCGAAAACAGATGTAAAATTGCAGAAAATCTTGATTGCCATTTTTTCTCAGTCTCTGGCGGTCGTAGGGCGAAACTTTACTAATCCAATTAGCAAATACCAAAAATTTTCCAGCACCGGTCCTATCTTCTCTGAAACTTGCGCAACAAACAGAAATTGATCTCTACAACGTAGATAATCCCACTCAGGCATGCCTGAATGGTGGCTGGGTCACAAAAAATCTTATGATCACAAACATCGACATCCGACACTCACCTACATCAGAAAAAAGATAAAGAATTGTGCCAGATATTTTGAGTTACCTAATTAGTGATTTTTCGGAATGATTTCTGAGGCTACTCGTTTAATTTTTTGAAAAAATCGTTTTTCTGCTAGATGAAAATATTATGTGAAAAAGGTTATTATGTTTTATCATATGTTTTACAAGAAAGTATCAGTGACAATGAAATTTTTCTGCAACTTTTTTTTCAACATAAATTCTTCTCAGGAACGGACCTTAACTATAAATTATAGAATCTTTAATTTCACTTCTTTGAAGAAGGAAAAAATTCCACATAGACCACGGTTGCTGATCGCTTGCTTTTCCTGGATTTGATTGACAACCATTTGCAAAAAAGAAAAAACTATTACCTTAGGCAAGGAAAAAACTATTTAAAAACAGTGCCGTTAACTCAGGGAGGTCTCTCTTGAAGATAATGATCGACTGACTGTGAACTTGCGTGCTTGATTAAAACTTTTATTTTGTCTGGATTTACTAGTCGTTTGGATAGTCCATCTCCTTTGTGAACTGGAGCTTCATGAAAGAGCAACAGCGAGAAAAGGTAAGATTTCGTCACTTTTGGTTTGATATAATGTTGTTTGTGAGTTTGGCTATATAAACAAGAATGCTGGTGTTACAATGTGCATTCTAGGGCGGAAGCAAAAAATGCGTTTTTTCTTCTTCCGAAATTATTTTAAAACAGTACAGTCAGCCAAAAATAGCTTTCGATCTGGCGTTCTTCTCACCAGGCAATGCATTTCAAATTGTTCTTCGTGGGCGCTTCTGAAATGCGCTTTTTGCCGGGTGGCAATTTCCGTTCGTCTCCAGGGACTTGCGAACCCGAGCACCATGTCAGCACTCAATTTCGCCATGCAAATATGCCATAAATGCGTTAGTCGCCGTAATGTATGCACTCCGTTAGGCCTCTGAGGCCATAAATGAGCCGGCAACGTCAACGAGCACGTAGAAAAACGCAGCATTAGTTACCGGGAAGCCCAAATGAGGCAAAATGGGGCCACCATCCAAATGCATACATCTCCAGGTGCAGCCCGAATTGCCTCATTACCCATTGGAGATGAGAAGATGATGGGGCTGCTGCCAGATGTAAAAATAACGCGATCAATACGTATCTTATTCACTGAGCCCCGTGCTCGTAGCTAAAACGGATTAACGCGTTAGTGTCGACGTATCTCATCCCCCTTCGGCTCGTATGGCGTAATGGCTAAACAGAGCAGAAAATTGCAGTCATATCGGACTTCCCCAGCTCCCCCCCCCCTCGTCAACGAGAGAATGTTACCACAATTACGCTCATTTACGGACGCGAGTACTACACTGACGTCGAGCGAGCGCAGACATTCAGCGGTGAAAGGTGGCTGGGGTTGAATGGCGAGGCGAGTTAAGCCAATTCAATGCTCGATTCCAGTGAGACGGCAATGCTAGGCGGTATTAGAAATGGAAAACCAAACCGATGGACTGGAAGAGGATTTGGAGAGGATATCATCGGAGAATTAGCAAATGCGGATTTACGAGACAATGAGAAATGGAAGACGTTCTGCCAGAAGCAAAGTCCATAAAAGGCGCATGTAGAACGGGAGTGGAGAAGGGGGGGGGGGAGATTGATTTTTGTGTAGATTTGTAACTTCGTGATTTGCATGAAATTGTGGATGAGGTTCTGTCAGCAAAAATTGCCTTCAAGCACATGAGGGTGGTAAGATCAAATACGTTAGAAGAATACCCTAGAAAATTTTTATAGAAACTGACAGAAATTTTTTAGCTTGCGCGGATCTTGGTGAACGACACTTTCTCCAAAAGGGTCATTATCACAAGAAATGCATGGTTCAAAAGGATGTTTGGGAGAATGGTCTTTTCAAGGAGATGGTTTTGATGTTATCGTTGAAAAAAAAAGAATCCAAGAAGTATTTTCTTCACTTCCATTTACATATCAACAGATCTTGATAAAATTTCCTCGACAAATCCGCCTGAACGGTTTTAAATGAATGCTTTTTCAGAGGCGGAAATGATTTCTATACAAATCATGCCTGGTGTAAGAGCTCCAAACGGTTTGTTGTTATCGTTATTGTTAGGAATAAATCAAATTTCGAACAATTGTTCTAAGGTCACGACATAGAAAGCATCAAATAAAGCATCAATATGAGCACAAAAACGATGGAAAGAGCGATTTGCTGCTATAATGTGGTTTCTAGGATATTCAGCTAATGCACATAATGCACTCGACTCGATAATAGTGGTCTCTAGTATTGGATTATTTTCGCTGCACAATTCTAGTCCGGCAGCTAATAAATAGTGAATGGGAAGATCACAAAGGAAGAAAGAATGGACTAGCAGAATGCGTGATTAACATAGGTAACAACAAGGTACTCGAAATAAAGGAATTCTGCGATATAAAGTGAGGATAGGAGCACATACCGAAAAAAAAACAGGTAAAAAATGCTTGTTGAAGAAAATGATGGCAGAGAATTCACAGAATTGTGGCCAGGATACGATATCGAAATAGGCATCTGTTTTGGAGAAGTTTTATGAATAGAAACAAAAGATCGAAAGAAAAAGAAATAAGCTACCGGAATGCGATATACTATATTTGTTATTTATCCTAATCAATTATTGATGTTTTTCCTTCTTACACGAAGGCCGTGAATTGTAAAGATGGCTAAAATACTTACCGGTGCATCCTCACGAATATCAGCAAAATATGAATCCCTTTCAAAAATCGGGCTATTGTCCTGCACATCTAAGACGTCTACGGTAACAGTCACACTCGATGACACTGTTGGATCTAGCCGCTCATAAGCTGTCACTTTCAGAACGTGCTTATCCAAAATTTCGCGATCGAGCGATTTTGCGAGGCGAATTTCACCAGAGATCTGAGTTTACAGGTTCAAAAAATCCATGGAAAAAGAGAAAAGGTGAAAAACTTACCGTATCCAAGGTGAAAATATTTTGTGATCTAGAATCTTGTGGTGCAGCTAGGGAGTAATATAGGGGTTGGTCAGCAGCATGTGTAGCTTTGACGGCAACAACTAGGGTTCCAGGACTAGCAGATTCCAGAAGTTCTTTCACATAGCTGTAAAAAATTCTTAGAGATTGGCTTCACTGCGAAATTATAATGCTAATGGGCTCCTCAATTTTATTTTGGCGGCAAAGGTTCTTTTGAAGACCTAAGAAATCAGGAAGAATAAAAAGGCCATAATTCGACGAGGAGAAGCCTTTCCGAGATAAAGCGAGCTATTTTAACAAATAAAACTGTAACTGGATATAGTCTTCAGTTTTACTGCGCCGTACAAGTTTGTTGGAGTTTTTTTTTTGCAAAACTAAAAACAACTAGATCCAGTGAGTGCTCAGGCATAAAGAAAGAAGGTAGAGAAAACAATGATTTATGATACGAATATTTTGCAAGAATGGAAAGATTGATATCAAGCTTAGCGCGAGAATCATAGTTATTAGTTCTATATTTAGGTTTGAAATTCATAAAAAATCTTGGAATAAATCTGCAAAGTTTTTTGTCCAAAAAGTTTTTTTGTGCAACTGCACACCTATACCTCGTACATAGTAGCGCTGCAAAAAAATCACTTTATGCAGCTTGGCAGTATTGAATTACGAAAGAACGACTCGTCTTACCTCTCTTGTTGGAAGTGTATCGCATTAGGATCGGGATTTCTCCGTCGCAGCCATCGCTTGAATCTCCTTTGCTTCGAAAACTTCGGGTGACCAATTTTGAACCTTCCAGTGCGAGCATCGCCCTTGCACTTGTAGGTGTACTCAATCACTTCAATGGTGGAGTAGAAGCAAAGTCTTTGTTTGGCAAAGACCAAGCCGGTCTCGTCCACAGAGATCTGTTCAGAATGTAAAGCCAACTTCTGCGAGCAATCGCTGCCCCCGGGCCATTCGAAAATCGGCTGTCCAGGATGCAAACACGGGGGTTTAGCATGCGAAAGCCAGTGAATATTCGTAGGATGTGGAATACAGCAGCTTTTGTGTGACTGTACGTATACGGTAACTATCAATAGCAGTAGTAGAAGTGCTAAGGCCATAATTAGCTAATGGGCTCAGGGAGAGTGCTGTTGAGCAGCCAGTCCTTATTTGGACATGCCTCGGAAGGGGGCGTGGCTTTGGCTGACCAGCATGGCGACAAGGCGGCAGGTGGCTCAGCTTCGAGGCTTCGACCATTCCGCGAGGATTAGAGTGGGCGGAGCTTCTGCAAGAGTTAGCATTGAATATAGAAATTATTAATATCTATATACATGTGTAGCAGTGGCGTACCCAGGATCTCTCTTGGGAAGGTGGGGGAGGGGGGAGGGGGGGGGGGGGGAGGGGGAAAGGAGGAGGACAGAAGTATTTTTTGGATAAAAGTACGTGGGGTTAGCCATGCACTCCGAGGATTTTTTTGATATCTTCACAGAAATTTTTCGTGTCCACAACCTCGAAATCTCGGAAAAAATTAGAGCAGCGGTAGCCATGCTCCCGAAAAAAACTTTTTGTAAAGCTAATTTTTACAAATTTTTGAAATTATTTCAATAACTCACAAGTATAAATAGGCACTTGCACAGTTCGGAGCTCATGTAGCCTTCAGAATTTTTGCGACCCATTGCCCCCTTCCTCTCCCTAGGTACGCCACTGTGTAGTATTAGTTTTGCTTCGATTAAGAAACTGTGAATTAATTCAGAAATTCGCGAAATTATCAGCTTTCCAGTCATTTCAAAAATGTAGACCATAAACTTACCGTATTCAAAAGTCAAACTCACAACTCGACTGCCTCCTTTTTATTCTATAATGTGCGCAGGCGATTGCTTTTGTAAAATGAAATAACTTAAGATAAATAATCCTATTGTAGCATTCACGGTTTCTATATATAAATTGAATCGATTTCAAATTTGTTCGTTGGTAATCAAAATCCAGAGATTGTTAAAGATTCTGCTTGTGTTATGCCTAATTCATTCCTCCATCCCTCCGCCATCCCTAAACTCCTAAGATATTATTCAAAATGAAGAGTCTGTACTAGTAGTGAGACAGTTTTTGCCTGACTTCTCACCAAATGGAGCATTTGAAATGTTTTTTTTTGCAGTTTTCGCTCAGCATTGTTTGATTTACGATGCTGCGTTGAAAAAACCGAATAATTTAATAAAGTGAGAGTGTGAGATAGTGCAATCCTTTCGAATCAAAATAGAAATACTTATTGTTGTGTTGTATTGCACTGCAATGTGTACTAGTTAATTTTTCTTGCTACGATTACCTCTCGAAAATCCTACCACACATTGTGTACTGCATATTTTTTACTGCAATAAAGAAAGTTTTCCATTTTCTATAATACTTTTCAGAAGTTCCATCACTCTCATTCTTTGCACTCGTAAAGAACGACTTTCTATTGTACATCTAAAGATAAAGACATTTCCTGAATTTGTTAGTGTATTTGGCTGTTTTTCAAGCCAGCATTGTATGGTGACATGCATTTGAACTGCTTTATCCTAACATATGTAGAGCAATAACGTTCATCACCTCAAGAACAAAGTAGCATGGTGCTTTTTCTTGCTTGTCAAGCTGCATGGCTGGATCGTATTGCACCTTGCAGAGCTCTGACTGACAATTGAATCCTTATATAACAGAACATGAAAGAAGAGGTGATGAAATCATTTCACTTTCGCTATTTGATCTCGGACGGTAATCTAATTTAAAATAATAGATTTTCTTTTTTTTATCCAAAAATTGTTTGCTGAGCCAGAGATACGGAACTCAAAGAAATATCCACAAATTATATAGGCATTTAATCGGGTGTCCGATAATATTGTGCACACTGTTTGATCTTTGATAACTCTCTTAAACTGATATCTTTCGCCGATCTTTGGACCAGGGCCTGGCACCAGCTGGCACGGGGCAAGCTGGATATCGTTTTTGGGGCAAAAAGCAAAGGGGGTTTCGTTTTTGTGGGCGAAGACATACGGAAAATTGGCGGCGGCGACCTTTTTTTTTTTTTTTTTTTTTTTTTTAGTCGACGTTTCGTTTTTTGGGGGATTTTGGGGATTTTTTTAGGATTTTAGGGGGGATATCGTTGAGGATCAAAGGGGACTTCGTAAAATTTCCCAAAAGTCAAGGGGGACTTCGTAAAAATTGGCAAATTTCAAAGGGGACTTCGTTTTCAAAATTCCCTGGTGCCAGCTCGTGCCGAGCCCTGCTTTGGACACCATACTGTAGATCTGGCATCAACTTAATTTACAGAATAGAGCAAATCACCGACCGTTCTTCGTTATTGTAGGGTGAAGGTAAGAGTGACATATAGAACCATTGCGAAATAGCCCTCTGACAAAGTTTTTTTCATAAATGTGAAAAATTTTGTATTACGGTTTTCATGCATGCTAAATTCACTGCACATCTTTCGACGAGTGTCTTCAGCTTTTTAATGGTGTAATTTGATTCTGACAAACGTTGAGAAATAGTTGTTACTGACCCAAGATAGCTTCAGATGGAATCATCACAGTAAAGTCGATCTTTCTGAAAGTCAACGACTTTTGCCTAGTATGCGTTTTTCGGCTTGTTCGGCTTTCTTTCCCAGGTAATATATGGCACTCAGCAGACTAAAATCCTAGTCAAAGTTTCTAGTAATCTGAAGTAATGGAGAGGAATCGGCAATATGCTCCATACTGTGAATGCAAGTTGAAGCCAGCTTCACAGAATAGTACTTTGTGTTTAGCGAAAGATATCAAAGCAAGAGAGTTATTAACGTTTACAGAGCTGCAATTTTTAGAACACCTTTATTCCAGTAATACCAGGTATCAATACGGTTCTCTTATTCTGTGATGAACTAGCGAATATCATGCGCTAATTCAGACTGTAATAGGCAGACTTTAGAAAAAATCCAATTCAACTTTTTTACCTAAAATGTTTTACCTTGACTTTTCTTCACATACTTGAAGATGACCCCATTATATGCCAGAACTGCATTTCATGCAAAAGTGATGGCGGAAAGATGGCTACACAGAGCAATCATTTTTGTTAGAGGCTTGTACTGCCTTCGATATTTCAATGAGCCGTAACAGAAATCTTCACTAGTAGTTTGCAGTTGCTAAGGAAAAATTCTTGGTACCCTTATGTAAAAATCGTGATTTCACACAAGCTACTCAAGCTTGCCATAAAATAATTCTATGCCATACGTTGCTGATCCTTTAAAACAAGGTTTGGAGGTATTGTAAGTCCCTCCACAAAACGCACTTTTGTGATTCCTAGTCACAGAAATCAGTTTTGATTCAAGCCCTGACTATTGAGCAATCAATCCCAGAAAGTTGAAATTTCCAAACTGGCAGAACTTTTAACTTCATTATACATGCAAAATGCTACATAAATAAAATTACGTACTTGCGTACTCAAACGTTTTTTCACCTCGATTTTTTATGCAAACGCGATGTCGTATGTACTTCTAGTGCATTCTTTTCAACTGAGTAATCCTTTTCAAAAAGTGCTAGTAACGAGTTGGAGTGGTTCTGCAAAAAAAGTATTACTTCACGTTTTTAGAAGAAGTAATGCGTTACTTAGCTCTTTAGTAGGTGTAAATAGGATATTCCACGAAAGCAATATATTGTAAACGATCAAGTGGATTTTTAACCAAATCTGAAAAGATGGTCCTTTTAAAAACAGATCAGCGGTCGCGGCAAAATATCAGAAACCAAATCAAAAGATTTGATATGATGCATTCTAACTGCTTTTTCCTTTCTGTTGTCCTGAAAAGAAGTTTTATAGTCCAGTTTTTCCATTTCAACTCTTCATTAGACTTTTGTGTATTTGAAGCACTGCAAATAAAAATTTAGTCTTAAAATTGACAGCATTCCTTGTGTGATTGCTTGCGAAAGAACTTGGCAATGAACCTTTGAATGATTTACATTATCAAAATGTTGAAGCGCACCTAAAAAACGCAAGGCCCCACCTTATCTTTCACACTTCCGGAGACCTTCGTAAATTAATTCATCTTCAAGGAGTAATGCATTAGGCGAAAAAGAGATCTTTTCCTATATCTAGATTTGTATCTTGTTGTCGAAGAACGTTTTTGAGCGGAAGCTCCAAACACTTTATATCAGATTAGGTCACTACTCTGAATGATTAAATTTGTGAGAGCCTTTACCTAAAACTCTGTATAGATTATGTTATGAGTAGAAACTGAAAACCTTTATCTTTGGGTCATATTTGAGAATGCGAGTGAATGCGCAATTCCATTCCTACGAAACATTGTTGATGAACGCTCTCGGGTGCATATTTCATTTCGAACATCACTCCTACGATGGCGAACGTCAACACTTGTCCTCTCCCAAGGGACAAAGGGCTTTGAAGCAAGCAGAGCACTTCGTTAATTAGTTTGAAGCCTTCTTTGCGAGTGTAACAATGAAACCAAATCTGGAAGAGCGTTGCCATCATTTGGTCTTATTTTCAACACGAAAAACGATGTCCGAATACCCGCATTTGCCTAAACGCTGCCTGAGAGGGTATCATATCCTCATGAGACTTGCATGCAAACCAATGCTTATAGAGAAGAAACATGAAGGAAAACACCAAACTCCACTTATTTTGTCACTACGGTAGGTAAGGAAACATTCCGTGTTTTTATGGTCATCGTTTGACCTTTCTCCAGCTTCCACGCTCCAAGATTCTGATTGCTTTCTGTCTCCACGCATATTCCTATATTCCTACCGCACGAACTGCCATAAACGTGCGGTCACCAGCTGCAATTTCGCGTGTTTCATTCAGCCTTAATTAAAACAATGAGTGACGGCTTGCCCGTCATATTTCGTAACTGAAATTGATTCTGCCGGAGCTCACTCTCATTTGTAACCTTGGTAAGCGATGAGAATAAGGGAGTACTACTTGAGAGCTTTTCAGGCAAGTGAGATTGTCATTGTCTCGCTCTGAAAATCGGCATCAAAACAGCAGACGCTGCTTAAGCCATTTGTAACCTCAAATTTGCGATTCACACAGCATGTATATTGTGTGTCAAACCATCCTCTTGAATGACTAATCTAAGCCTGGATTTGAATCCACTTGCAAACATTTTATC